CCGCCCGCTCCCGCGGGAGCCCTGCCCAGCGTGGGCGGCCCCGGCTGTCCCCGACCCCAGCAGTGGGCACCCCTGTCCCCGGCATCTGCTCCGCAAAGGCCAAGGGCCCCGGCCGCCCCCGACCCCCGCCCGGCCACCTCTCCCCTCTGGTGCAGGGAGACCTCTTGGCGCTGGCACCGAGGTTGACCTCAGCCATGCTGGGGCTGCCCCGTGKCCACCGAGCCCCTGGACTGGCAGCGGGCGCAGCGTTCGGCCCATGGGAGCGGGAGCTGCCGTGGAAGGGGGTCGCGCTCCCCTCCGCGCCACCGCCGGCCCCGTCTCCGCTTTATCCTGCGTGGTGGAGCAGGATCCCTGCCGCCAGGCACGGCCCCACCGGGGATCCCGGAGCGCGGCCAGCGCTTCCCGGCGGCCTCCTTCCGGCCGGCTGCTTGCGGCGTCCTTCCCGCTTCCCCCTGCACCCGGACGCCGGGGCCCCGCGCTGCTCGGCCCTGCTCGCCGCTGCGGCCCTCCCGCACCCGACCTACATTCGGGGACCGCGGGCGACCTTGCCTTCCACTGCGCGGTGGCACGTGGGCGCCGCGGCGCCTCCGCGCGCACCCTGCCCTTAGTTCCCCCTCCCAGGAACCGCCATCGCCTTTCCTGCCAAATCGGAAGAACCATCTCGGCTCCTGCTTAGCCTCAACCAGGCCCAAACAGCACCTATAGGTGCTACCCGTTTGCTATGGTGCAACATCACGGCGCCTGCCTGCTGGTGCCACCAGTAGAGGCTGGGGGCACCAAAACCCCCTCTTGCAGCACCAAGCTCACCCAGCTGGGCCTGGGGAGGTGCCACCCTTTCCAGAGCCCTTTTCTCCCCTTGCCAACGGCGCGTGCTCCAGTGCCCAGCGTGGGCAGCCCACTGCATCGCTCCTGCACGGCATGGGGCCACYGGGGCTTTGCCCCCCCGCCTCGGTGCCCAAGCGCCGGTGGTGATGCTGAGGATGGGGCGTTGACGGGCACCACGTTGGGTGCTGCAGCACGATGCCCTGAGGGTGCCAAGCACCCAGTGCAAGGGGACGCCCGCGGGGGGCAGGCGCCGTGGGTGCACGGGGGCCATGAGCGCACGGTGGGGGGTCACYGGTACCAGTACCGCGTGTGCGGAGCTCATTGCCATGGGAACGGGCCGCTCCGTCCCCGCTGCTCCGTCGCCGCGCGCTCACCCTCTCTCCCGTCCCTCTGTGTCTCCCCGCAGGGCGCCGCCACAGCGATGGGCAGCAGCCGCCCCGCGGCTTCGCCTCCGCCCGCCGGCCGCCCGGCCCGTCCCGGCGCTCGCGG